TTTCCTTGCATGTCTCACAATTTTTCATTGAAAATTGGACATTTTAGGTCATATATTGTAACAACTCTGGATTCTGATCCTTCCCAGGCTTATTGATGCTGTTTTGTTCTTGTTCTTGTTGTTCATTTATTTATTTGTTTAGTGACTTGGCTGGACTAATACTGTGAAGTATATTTTTCCCCCACAGTAGGCAGCCTCTGATGTCTCTGCTTAGATAGTTGTCCCTTGTTTTTTTGTTTTTAAACTTGAGTTCCTAGGGGTTGCCCTGGGTCAGTCACTGATTGGTCAGAGGTCACGCTTAAGCCCCCTGGGCCAGTAAGGTTTTCATCCTTTTCCATTGGGTCTGTGTGTGACTTGGCAACAACTTTTGAAGTTCAAGGAGTTTATATACCTGCCACTTTTAACTCAGGGACTGACAGCTTGGAAGTACCCTGTCTAGTTGATCTTGGGTGGCCACAGCCATGGGCTTTTCCACAGTCTCCTGGACCACCAGTATCAAGTGTGAATTTTTTTACTGTCCCTCATCCCAATTTATCTGTTAAACTTCTGTTGGTCTGCATCTATTAGTATCACAGAGCTATTGGCCTACTCTGTTAGCCCTTATGATATCTATTTTTCTATGTCTATTATTTTTTACATTGCTCTGGGACATGAATGTACTACACTCTGTTCCAAATAAAGTCAAAGGCAGGGCTGCAGAGCTGCAAGTCCTCACAGCTTGCTCAGCCCCCAACCTGGTCAGAGCCTCTGTGTTACTGAGCAGGAGCTGGGGATATGGGAAACTCGGATCTGTTTTGTTTGCCCTGCGAAGGGTCTGCCTGTAGAGCAGGACATTAGGGAGTGAGTACTGGCACTACCAAACAGCGACAGCTGCCCATGGGGAAGAAGGGGAGGATGAGTGCTGAGTGCTACCGTTTCCTAGATCTTCATCTGGGATAGATATTGATCTTCAGCAATAGGAAAGTGGGGTACATGGGCACCTCACTGGCTGCAAGCCTGCCCAGAATAGTTCTGAAACCTGGAGCTACAGGGATGGATGCAGCCCATGGTTCAAATGGCAGTTTCTTGCTGAGCTTCAGTAGATTTTATTGAATAAGTGTTTCTCAATTTATTATATACCCTTAGGTCAATTTCCAGATATTTTAAATGGTTGTCTTAGGTTATTTTGACCAGTTAAATCAGTGTTTCTTTTCTTTTCTTTTCTTTTTTTGAGACAGAATCTCATGCTGTCACCCAGGCTGGAGTGCAGTGGAGTGATCTCAGCTCACTGCAACCTCTGCCTCTGTGGTTCAAGCGATTCTCCTGCCTCAGCCTCCCGAGTAGCTGGTAGTACAGGCATGTGCCACCACACCCGGCTAACTTTTTGTATTTTTAGTAGAAATGGGGTTTCATCATGTTGACCAGGCTGGTCTCGAACTCCTGACCTCAGATGATCTGCCTGCCTCGGCCTCCCAAAGTTCTGGGATTACAGGCATAAGCCACTGCGCCTGGCCAAATCAATGTTTCTTTGAGGGAGAGAATTCATCAAGCTCTTCATTGCACCATTTTGGAAGTCCCACCCACCCCCTGGATTGGTCTGTAATTTATAATTTTACTTATTTGCTTTAAATCAGCAGTCCCCAACTTTTTTGACACCAGGGATCAGTTTCTTGGAAGACAATTTTTCCATGGAGTGGAGGGAACGCTTTTGGGATGAAACTGTTCCACCATAGATCATCAGGCGTTACATTCTCATAAGGAGTGCACAACCTAGATCCCTCACGTGCGCATTTCGCAATGGGGTTTATGCTCCTGTGAGAATCTAATGCCACCACTGATCTGTCAGATGCAGAGCTCAGGTGGTAATGCTCACTTACCCACTGCTCGTCTCCTGCTGTGCAGCCCAGTTCCTAAAGCCCAGGGGCTGGGAACCCCTGCTTTAACTTGCAATATTAAAACATTGCAAAATGCCAGATACAATCATTTACTTAAAATAAAACTACTGAATGTAGTTTCAGTATTCTGTCATTTCTTTTGTATCTATCTCTTCAAACTTTGGCCTACCTTAAGGCAGGGCCTATGTTATATTCGTTTCTGTTTGTATTATGCAGGGAGCATTAAGTAGGAAGTAATGGTCTTTTCAGCTTAAGAAAAAAGCTAAATACTATCTGTTTTTTGAATATATGAATCCACAATTACTTTACCCAGTAGTTTACCTTCAGAAGCTGAGTGATTAGCTAGTTACTAGGCTAGCCCCTAGTTGGTCTTCATTGTACACATATACATACAAACACACACTCACATATTTACCTTTTCATAATCTTTTCCCAGCAACTTTTCTCCTTTAAGTGTGTCTACTTGTAAAGGCTTTTTTTTTTTTTTTTTTTTTTTAAACTTATTAGATTTTAAAGGCATAGTAACTATGGTCTGTACACTTTGGGAAACCAATGAAAATGTTTGAAACATGAAATAAATTCTATATTGGCTAAAAAATACTGCAGAACTAAAATAAATGTCTGTAAAATGTGACATTAAGTCTACTTACCAACAGCAATTCAACAGTTAAAAAGTTACAAATAGGCCGGGCGCAGTGGCTCACACCTGTAATCCTAGCACTTTGGGAGGCCAAGGTGGGTGGGTTGCCTGAGCTCAGGAGTTCGAGACTAGCCTGGGCAACATGGTGAAACCCCATCTCTACTAAAATACAAAAAATTAGCCGGGCGTGGTGGCATGCGCCTGTAGTCCCACCTACTTGGGAGGCTGAGGCAGGAGAATTGCCAGAACCCGGGAGGCAGAGGTTGCAGTGAGCCGAGATTGCGCCACCGTACTCCAGCCTGGGCAACAGAGTGAGAATCCATCTCTGGGGGAAAAAAAAGTTATAAATAAATTATATTTAAGGTGGCATATGAATAGATTTTAAGATATTTGATATAGGTAGAGTCCTCAAAGGTCTTAAAGATCTTGTTCACCATATTTCACCCATAGATTAAAGAAAAAAATGAGGACTATAGGGATTGGAAGCCAGGCCTGGTACCAGCTAATATGACCCTCAGGAAAGATCCCCAACACTTTCACAAAGAAGAGATGGTTTCATAATGTATTTAACATTTTTCTACCCTGATGTGGGTAGAAAGACCATGAAACCCCACTGTATACACTCAGACTTTTGCATTTTGATAGCTTCATTCATTCATTTGCTAACAAATATAAGCAATTTACCTAGCACCTATACTGTGCCTAGTAATACTTTGGCTGAGGATACAGTGAAGGACAAGGTAATCTGGGCCCTTTCCTCATAGGTCTTATATACTAGCTGGAGAAGTATAAAAATGTTTTTAATAATGTAAGTAAATTTATTCTTGCAGATTGTAATGTTATGAAGCACAGCGTTCTTTAGGGGTAGGAGTAAGTACCTGTGGTAATCTTCCTTAGATTTGGAAGTCAGAGAAGGCCTTCTTATGAACTGATATTTAAGCTGAGGCATGAAGAAAGAGTTGGAGTGAAGCGGAGGGAGTAAGGAATGACTAATCAGAGGCCCTGGAGAAAAAGAGAGACTCACACACTTGTGGAAATCAAAGGCAGCCAGTGTGGCAGAAGCACTGAAGCACTGGAAGCCTGAAGAGGGTGTTGTGTAAGGAGGCTGTGGGGGTGTTGGAGTCAGGCAGGACCTCAAGGTCTTGAATACCAAGGGTCTTGAATTTTATTCCATTTGAAGTGTTTTGAGCACCCAGCATAACATAACCTTGACTGATTTTTAAAAAGATCTCCCTGAAAAATCTCCCTGGCAGAAGGGCAATTAGGAGGTTTTGTAATCGTCCAACTGAAAGATGATGAGACTTGGGCCAGTGAGATCGGGGAAGGGAGAGGAAAGTGGATGGATTCAATAAATACTTTAGAGGTAAGGGCCAGGTGCAGTGGTTCACGCCTGTAATTTCAGCACTTTGGGAGGCCAAGGCAGGTGGATCACCTGAGGTCAGGAGTTCAAGACCAGCCTGGCTAACATGGTGAACCCCCATCCCTACAAAAAAATACAAAAAATTAGCTGGGCATGGTGGTGCGCCCTTGTGGTCCCAGCTACTCGGGAGGCTGAGGTATGAGAATCGCTTAAACCCAGGAGGCAGAGGTTACAGTGAGCCGAGATTGCACCATTGCACTCCGACCTGGGCAACAGAGTGAGACTCCATAATAAATAAATAAATGAACGTAAGAACAACTGGTTGAAAAACACAAATATTCTCTTTAGTTCTATTTTGATACTGTCGCTAGCAGTTGAAGTCAAACCTAATACAAATGCTCATTGCATTACGATTTTAGGATGGTAAAACTTTAGTGTTTGACGATGTTTTATGATGTCTGTTAACTAATTATCACCTAACTCAGAGAACAGATCAAAAGTCATTTTAACTAGAAATAAAATGGGAATAAATAGTACCTCTTTATGCATTGGAAAACTTTCCATGCTTTGACAGCAGAGGCAAAGGCATCGTGGTACAAGGGAGTGATCGTGGGTTTTTGGAGCTCAACCAGCTCTACAATTTTGAACAAATCATTTTTCTAAACTTTAGTTTCAAATGGAGAAGATAATCTTTATTTCACAATATTTTTAAGAATGAAATAACTGGGCAACACATACTCTAATAGCTGTTCAATAACCATTCATTTTCTCAATTTACAAATAGCCTTTCCTATAATCTACACTATTCAGATTATTTGTTAAACCTTGAATTTTTTTTTTAGAATTAGAAGAATTTAACTCAATTCTCTTAATTTCCAGACAAAGAAATAACAGCCTAGGGAGATGAAGAGACTTGCCTGAGGACACAGAATGTACTGGGGGCAGAATAGAACCAGCACTATTTTCTCCAAACACCTGGCATGTTTCCAGTACACTACATTGCCTCATGTGTCTCCTCTAATGTTGAATGAAGGATTTTATAAGATATCCATATATCCATTCCATCGCCTGCTTAAGAGACTAAAGAGGGTGGTGATTAATAGTGACCTTTTGTTCTCTCTGCTAGTTATATGCTATGGGAAAACTTCCTGGAACCAGAATGGCAGAGTTAAAAGCCAAGTATACCTTGCTGCATGACGCCGTGATGAGGTACGCAATTTACCAGTATGGAGACATGATTAATCATCTTTAAATTTCTTACTGGTGATGAGACCTGTCTTCATTTGCATTCCCCCATAAGCAGACCCTGAGGCAAGGATTTGCGTTCAGGTAGTTTGAGAAGTGATACGAGAAAGCATCATGAGCAAGTGGGGAAGTGCAACTGGGAAGGAAGGAATCCAGCCTTGAACGGGCCATGTTCATCTGCGAGTTTATATGATGGGCTACTGGGGCTCAGCCTCACAGAAGAGCCTCTGAGTGGTTCACCTCAGCACTCTCCCCCTGAAGAGTGAAGAAACTGGAATATTTGCCCACCAGTTTCCACCATTCATTTTATTACAAATTACTCCCAGGTAGATTAGCTCTTGACACTTCTAGCTTGCCCTTTGACAAACGAAGCAAACTTTGATGGCCAGAGACAGCTCTCAGGCAGAGGGACACAGGTGCTGCTGACATATGGCAACTGTCCACCAAAGCTGCCGGTGGGCAAGAGGATTCTGGTGGGACACTGACAGTCTCTGCATAGGCCACACCTGCAGGACCCTTCTCCCATGTCTGTTCATCACTCAGAGGTGTAGATTCTCCAACAACGCCAGCCTAAGTCTGCTGAGACCCTGTCTTTACTTCTCACCTCCTTCCCATATCACAAGCTACTTACCTTGCAAGTCCCAGTCAGCAACAGGTCAGAAGAACAGGCTACCACAGAAGAGCCCAGCAAGCCTGCCTGAGCACTGGCTATTAGCCGCTGGGAATTAAGAGGGCAGGGGAGTGAACAAAAACCCTAATGTGCTGTGATTCTTTACCGCTCCAAAGCCTCTTTCTTTCCTTTTCCCCCATCTTGTCTCATGGTCTTGCATGGTGTCTTCATCAAAAGCCAAGTAACAACAGCAGCAGATAGAAACTCCATGCTGCCACTCCCCAGCCGTCCTCTCCCCGCAATTCCCAATCACTGCCCCTCCTTCTTATCTTGCCCAGAGAGATTTGGCTACCTTGAGGGTGAAAGCATGAGGGAAGAGTGAACAACTTTGAGAAGAGGAGAGCTGCATTCCTATGCAAACTTCAGGTGCACCCAGGCTCCTCACACCCCTCCAGAGCCCCCAGCCTTCGTTCCTCATCCTCAAGCCCAAGCCAAGTCCTCACCCTCGCACCTAATGGAGGTTCCATTCCCCCATAGCTGGTCATGCCTGCCAGTGTGTTCTCAGAGTTCTCAAGACTCAGGAATTTTGAGACTTTAAGTGGAAAGTCTGGAGTCATCTTTTACAGCGTACTTCACACTGCCTAACTGAGAGGAAATGCCATGCAGTTCTCTGGGCATCCCTCCAATCCTCTTTGCAGACACAAGGAATATCAGTGTTTCCTGCCCTCTGGATAGCTCTTCTCTGGAGCCCAGTGGAGATTTGCAGGGTGCTTTGACTTAACTTCCTCCTCCCTTGGCCCGCAACTCAGCTCCCTGGCCCCTAGTGACAAGTAGCAATGCAGGACCTCAGCTATGGCGTTATTTCTTCCTCTTCCAGGTTGTGTTACAAAACAGTTAACTTCCCTTCTGCTACCCACATTTTACCTCTTGACCACTTAGTTCCCTCTATTGCCATTGCAAACATTCACCATTCTCTCCTACTCCCAATGCCTGGCGGGTGGGAAAGATATGAAGCAGATGTAACGTTCGTGCTGCTAGGACTGCAGCTGGGCAGATATAGCCTGGAAATATTGAACTGAAACTGAAGGAGTCTTCCATAGAAACTGTGTTATAAGAGTTGTTAAAGTCTCTTCTACTGGTGTCATGTTTTAAGTACATGTGGGTAAGTTGCCATTTGTGTTCTGGCTGGAACCCTACCACCCTGTCCTTTCTGTGGAGAAACAGACACTGTAGCCTGGGCCAACAGCTTACAATTTCAATAGCTGAATCCTGACTTATTAAGGAGATCAGATAACTTTGGATTTGCAAAGTTTATTAGTATACATGGAAATTGAATTATAGGAGAATAATTGCAGCTTTCATTAGTGAAAATTATTTGAGGTTTCATTGTAGCTATTGTTATTGCTGTTTGGTACCTAACATCATGCCTGGAACGTGTTATGTCTCAGTAAATGTTTTGCTAGATACTGTTGAGCAAATAACATTGTAAAACCTGGGACAATGGATGTATCTGTACTGAATTGAGAATATCACAAAGGTGAGGCAGGCACAAGGTAACTTCAGTTGAGACTGGTTTGATCAAGTCATTGGGCGTCTCTGCAAATGAGCTGGAACTTGAAGATTTCTCTTGGTGAGGACAGTTGGTGGGGAGCACACATCAAAAGAGAGCTCTGGTTCTAAAACAGGAAGTGGTGAGGGCTTACTTCAAATAGGAGAGGTAGCTAATATAAGGGTTTCTGGGATATACGAATCCTATCTACTGGTAAGGTTGGGGCTGTTGCTAGCTGATGCTAGCTTGCAGCATAGAGGAGTTCTACAAGATAGTGGAGATTCCACCATGTCCTTTTTCTACATCCTCTGACAGATGTTTAGTCCTTTTCCCTACATAGGGCCAAGGCCATAGAACATAACTGGGGTTGTAGGAATCTCCCTCTACTGTGACCTTCAAGTCCAGCTCTAACCAGTGTTCATCTTAGAAATCTATAAATTTATTTATATTCATAATTATGTATGGGAATTTGTCTTTCTAGTTTCCTAATAAAGTGCCTTTAGAAAAGTTTGTCTTTTCTTAGTTCACTAAGTGGGGAGAGATTTTCCTACAATTACATTACAAGAATTCAAGGGAGCTAGGGTTGTTTGGGGAGTTCAAGGGGAAATCTCCTCTTTCCCTATCATTTATCCCCTTCTAGTAAGTCATAATCATTCTTCAAAGTCAAGTGCAAATGTCACATTCCCATTGAGTGATCCTTTTTCTGTTGTCTCCTGCTGTCGTGATCTGGACACCAGCGGTAGTACTTGTCATCTGGTATTCCTCCCCATCTGCCAGATTGTAAGATTCTTGAAGCTAGGAGCTAAGCCTTATTCACCTCTTGCACCTAACATAGTACAGTCATCTCTTGGTATCCATGGGGGATTGATTCCAGGAGCTCCCGCAGATACCAAAATCCATGGATACTCAAGTCCCTGATATAAAATGGTATAGTATTTGCATGTAACCTAATCACATCCTCCTGTATACTTTAAATCATTTCTAGATTACTTGCGATACTAATACAATGTAAATGCTATGTAAATGGTGGTTATGCTATATTGTTTAGGGAATCGTGACAAGAAAAGTCTGTACATGTTCAGTAAAGAAACAATTTTTAAGTAAACATTTTATTTTGGAATAATTTTAGATTCATAGAAAAGTTGCAAAAATAATATATGAAGTTCCCATCTATCCTTTACCCATTTTCCTCTAATGGGAGCATCTTACATAACCATGGTCAGTCAAAACTAGGAAGTTAACATTTGTATATTACTATTAATTGAACTCCAGATTTTCAACAGTTTTTCCACTAATGTTCTTTTTTTGTTCCAGGACCCAATGCAGTATACCCTACTATATTTAGTCCTCATGTCTCCTTGATCTCTGTGACAATTTCTCAGTGTTTCCTTGTTTTTTAAAATCACGTTGACAGTTTTAAGAGTGCTAGTCAGGTATTCTACAGAATGTTTCTCAGTTTGGGATTTTTCTCATATTTAGACCAGAGTTAGGTGTTTTGGAGGAGAATACCACAAAGGTGAAGCACACTCAATTTTTTAACAAAAATTTTCCCTTGTGGTTGATTGAATCCACAAATGTGGACTCACGGACATGAAGGGTCAACTGACTTGGCACAAAAATGTCAGAGTTGAGCTGAGCCCAGGAGTGGGGAGCAGCTATCCTCACTAGACCCCCACAGGAGCCACAAAGGGAACCGAGGGTGTACATGTCTCATTACATGAGTCTCTGTTTTTCATGTAACTCAGCACACAAGAGTCAGAGGTCCAACTGCTACAGAATGCCAAACGTTTCACTGAGCAAGTACAACAGCAGCAGTTTCACCTGCAGCAAGCTGATAATTTTCCAGAAGCATTCTCCACGGAGGTCTCCAAAATGAGAGAACAACTTCTCAAGTATCAAAATGAATATAATGCAGTGAAGGAAAGAGAGTTCCATAATCAGTACAGATTAAATAGGTAAGTGAACAATGCTCTCCAGCACACTGAAAAGTCATTTCCTCATAAATAGAAAAAAAAAAAAAAAATGAGATGAAGTTGGAGGTAACTGAAGGAGTAGGAGACAGCAATATGATGATGATTGCAAGCCTAGTTCTCTTGAATCCTTAGAATGGAATGGGAAGTCCCTGAACAAGAAAATTACGCTTCTCAGGTGACAGAGATGCCTGCTGTGTTTTTCATGTCAGGAAAGCCATCTCATTGACAGCTGCAGCCAAAGAACACACTCCATCAAACAAGTTCTTAGCGCTCCCTTGCCCTCCCCCTGCCCTGGCAGTGGCCCCTCATGCGTGCAGTACCAGAGCACGCATCTGCATGGTGGGCGCTTCTCCCCACATGCGTTTTCCAAACAAGCCTCCGTGAGCTGAGGTTCACATCTCATCTGGCTCACTCTGTTCTTCTAAGAGAACAGCAACAGGACCACATACGCAAACTTCATCTCCTACTACTAGGCTATTGCTCAGGATCAAGGAGAAAAGGTACATCCTTTTGGAAGACATATTTACTTATCCAAATTTAGAGGACGTCATTTAGTGAACTAAAGCAGACATTAAGTGCTAAAAGGGGAAGTGTTATTTTCAAAATCTCTTCTAACTTTCCTCCCAGGGAGTAGCAAGTCAGTGGAAGGGTTTGTTCAGCAAGTCATACTATTTAGATTGAATTTGAAAATGATGGCAATTCAAGTTTTCGGCTGTGGTGTGCTGTGTGCTGTGCCTGGGTACAGGGGAGAAAGCAAAACCATTTCTCCTAGGGTTTGTTACCATTTAAGGTGGCAGAACTTTCTCTGGCTATTTTTAAGAGGTGGACTTCTGACAGTGCAAATATAATTCAGTCCTTCCTAGAGATAAGCAAATGACTTGAGCAACCTCTCGAAGACCTTAGAAGCCCTGGATTTAAAATCTTCTCTTTGGGGCCTATTTTTTCACTGGCGGTGGGTGTGGGTGGGGTGTGAATAAAGAAGGTCAGTTTAATCAAGACATCCTATTCGGGGGGAAATGGGAGGTTTTTTGTCTTTCAATCTAAACTTGTTTCAGGCTTTCCAGTGACATCTATAAAAAGAAAGCCCAGCTATTTCTGTGCTCTGTAAGCACTCTTTCAGTTGAGAAAATAATGAAATTAAAACAATTGGTGGTTGTTCATTAGTATTGAAAATGTGAATGCTTGACATTTCCGTGAAAGAGTAAGAAGAACATAAGTCAGTTGATATTTAAATTGTTTAAAATTTCCAACTATTCCTGCCAAGAGAAAAAAAACAAAAACAAAAACTAGAACTGTTGCCCTTTAGGTATAGACAGGCAGATTATTCACTGAGATGGGAAGGAGACAATGCGTAGTGACCTGCGGTGAATAAGAACATTCAAAATGCACATTTGCAGAAATGTTTAGTATGTATTCTTTTTGAATTTATAATGTATCATTCTTAAGCTTGAGAAGGTTCCCTTGCATTCTCAAATATTAACGGCTCAAGAACTAACAAGCTTATTTTCCTGAAAATAATGGTGATGCTAAAAGAAATAGCAGTAAAGAATGATAGGCTCTGCATTTCATTGCCTTACCATATTTAGTATCACAGTCATGCACCTCATAATGGTGTTTCAGTCAACAATGGACTGTCTATATAATGATGGTCACATAAGATTGCAATGAAGCTGAAAATGTACTTTTGCCTAGTATTTACTATTTGATACATTTTATTTTGGAGTGTACTCTTTCTACTTCTTAAAAATATATATTAACTGTAAAACAGCCTCAGGCAGGTCCTTCAGGAAGTATTCCAGGAAAAGGCATTGTTATAGGAGATAACAGCTCCTAAATACCTTCCAGTGGGACAAGATGTGGGGGCAGAAAACAACGGCTTTGATGCTGACGCTGTGTAGGCCTAGGCTAATGTGTGTGTTTATGTCTGTTTTGTTGTTTGTTTGTTTGTTTTGAGACAGAGTTGTGCTCTGTCGCCCAGGCTGGAGAGCAGTGGCATGATTTCGGCTCACTGCAACCTCTGCTTCCCGGGTTCAAGCAATTCTCTGCCTCAGCCTCCCGAGTAGCTGGGATTACAGGCACCCATCACCACGCCCGACTAATTTTTGTATTTTTAGTAGAGATGGGATGTCACCATCTTGGTCAGGGTGGTCTTGAACTCATGTATGTCTTTGTTTTTAACAAAAAATGTTGTAAAAGTAAAAAGAAATTTAATTAAAAACCTTGTAGAATAAGAATACAAAGGAAGAAAATATTTTTACACAGCTCTACAATGTGTATTTTAAGCTGTGTTACGAGTCAAAAGCTAAAAAAAAGTAAATTTTGTAAAGTAAAAACGTTACAGTACATTTATTATCAAAGAATAATACGTTTTATAAATGTAGTGTAGCCTAAGTGTACAGTGTTTATAAAGTCCACAGGAGTGTAAGTAACGTCCTAGGTCTTCACATTCACTCACCACTCACTCACCCAGCCACTGACTCACCCTGAGCAACTTCCAGTCCTGCAGCCTCCATTTATGGTAAGTGCCCTAGACAGGTGTACCATTTTTTATCTTTTATGTCATATTTTTACTGTGTGTGTTCTTTGTTTAGATACACAAATACTTACTGTATTACAATTGCCTACAGTACTCAGTCCGGTAACCTGCTATGCAGGTCTATAGCCTAGGTGCGACAGGCTTTACCACACAGCCTAGATGTGTAGCCGGCCACACCATGTAGGTTTGTGTAAGTGCGCTCCATGTGTTCACACAGTGATGAAGCTGCCTAACGACGCATCTCTCAGAATATATTCCCTTCGTTAAGCGACACATGACTGCACATGATACAGAAACCAGTTCCCTCAACACCCTCCCGCTGACCTCCGTCGCCCTGGAAAAAGTAGATATTTCCATCCCCACATAAAAATAAAGAGATGAAGCTAATGAGAGAAAACTATTCATCCACATATACAGATGACATTTGTCAGAACAGCACAACAGACTCTCATTGAGTGTCTAGATAATAGAAGCCCAAAAAACTAGCACTCCTCCGCCCAATATCTTCAGGAACTTCTGAATCACTGGCAACTACTAAGAACAACATATTGTTCCAATACTCTAGAGAAAGGATTTTGCTGTAATTTTGTCGATTTTTTTGTGTATGTTCACATAACATAAACCTTTTAATAAATGTTAATAAATCTAATTATGTGGTTGGTTGGTTAATAATTAAATCTATGTTGCAGTAGTTTCTGGTTCTGGATTAATATTTATGACTTGATAAGCATGCAGTTCAGGAAATAATATGTAGTCTATTTAAAGTTAAATTAATACATTATAAATAAATAATAAAGTAATGAAATGCTGTTGAACTTATTTTTTGAAACAAAACAGGAGTACTTACCTTTCTGAACAGTTTGAAAAGATTTTTCAGTACTCTGTTCAAGCTTTTCCTTGCCTTGACTGTGTTACCTTTTGGGGCTTCCGTGTTTTCTAGTAATTCCTAAACTTTGAACAGCAAATACATTGCGTCTTTCGTGCTAGATCTGACGCATTCTGACCAGTCTTGGTCAGCTGGGGGAAACAAGGCTGTGGTGAGCTGGCACTGTCCATTGCGCTGTGAACACGGAGAGTGAGAACACTCAGGCCACACACGTGCAGGGTTGTCCTGACGTGACCCTGACTTTAGTGACTGTTGACTCTCCTGTGGCTGGTTCCTGTGGTCCTTGTTGCACATTCAGGGTTTATTAGTTGTTTTCCGTTCTTGGTCCAGTGATGATAGCAAAGTTGGAAACAAGAAAAAACAGATCTGGTAAGAAAGGAAAGGAGGAATGATCTTAGCAATGCATCTGGAATTCCAGAAAATTAGAATGTGACAGGCATGTAGGTACTTAGGAGTAGTCACAAGGAAAAACTCATAGCTAGAACAGATTTTACCTTAACTTAAAAAAAAAAAAAATCTTTGCTCTTCTGTGGCAACAACTATCTTAAAAGAACTAGCTTAGAACAGATTTCTCCGAATGTGTTTCTCATAACTCAAAGAGAAGCACCTGAGACGCTTGTTTGAAAGGCAGATCCCATCCAAAAAGTAATGATTATGATTTTTGCCCAAGCCCACCGCCGCCACCCAAAGTGACATTTGCTTATGTGACTCTGACTCACATTACAGTTAGAGGACCATGCGTTCCAAAGGTGGTTCTCAGCCCTGACTGCAGGTCAGTCACCTGAGTCTCCTCTCGGTGATCATTCAGTCTACGCGTAAACACTTCCAGTGACAGGAAGCTCTCAGCCTCCCACGGAGGCTCATACCAACTTTGGAAATGCTCCTGCACTTAAATGGTTGTTGGATTTGTTTATAAACCTACCTTCTTGCAACTTTCACCCATCCATGCTGGTTCTACTCCTGTGGTGAGTAATGCTTCTCACACATGTCAGCATATCAGGCTTCCTGCATTATCTCTTCACCCATAGATCCTTAAAACCAAAAGCCTTTTGACCTTGCTTTAGAAAGGAAGTAAATCCTAAGGAGCTTTGATGTCAAAGCACCCCTTAGTCAGGAAAGCTGAAAAATGTCAGATTTAAGTTTTAACGCAAGTTTGAAAGGTTAGGAGTTAATACATACCAGGAGGCACAGAAACAAAAACATGTTTTTGCCCCAGTAATCCCATGCAAAAGTGATAATCCAAAAGGAGAGAAAAAGATATAATGCATAAAGATATTGATATTTATGAAAGTGAAATATTGGAAGCAATCTGAATTCTAAGAAAAAGTGTGGAATATTTAAAATAATGCATTCCAGAAATACCTTGATACTGAACCTCTGTAGTCAGAGCTGTATTTGTGTGTCAGTTTAGCTTTGACTGTGTGACTTTGGAAAAGTTGCTTAACTCCTCAGTTTCTTCATTTGTGCAACAAAAATAACAATTCTTACTTAGCAAGGTTGTGAATTTTAGATGTTATGCATTTAAAACACCTGACACACAGTATGCTTAGTATATGATAA